CTGTATAATGGCGAAAACATTTTAAAAAGTTTTGGCAAAGATTGTGTAACTCGTCTTTGAACTCACTTTTAGCTAAATGATGCTCTCTATTCTTCAAGGATACGTAATTCAACTAGAGCATGGGAAAAAAGTCGTTAAATCAGCAATTAGATACGGTAGTCAGCCACTTGGCTGCAAGATGGGAGAACATGGATGCACTTGTTAGCACTTAACATAGTGAAATAATATAATGGAATGAAAATAATACCTTAGGATTACTTGAAAAGAAATTTTAAACACCATTTACCACTTAACTAAATAAGATGAAGATTGATACACTCTTGTTTCATCAAGAGCCAATTGAGGGACGAGCTTTTATTCAAACTAGTCGCGACTGCAATCCTCAACATCCTGCAATCTTTCCCTAACAACTTTTCCACCTTTGCAAAGGTTTCGTTTCTTAAAAAATCCACGTTTTTCCCTTTGCCTGTAATCGTTCAATTCCACAACTGAGATGTCAAGTGGATCATCTCGAAACTTACTCGTTCTTTCCATCAACTGATTCAACTGTAATAGGGCGACTGTGTGTCCTTGGTGTTTCATTACGTATTTGTTATCGATGTCCCGTTCTGTTCTCTCTCCCATCCTCTTTACCGTATCATGCTTATAGTCCCATACTATATCTTTTCGGAATGAACAGCCATATATCTCTTTCACCTCTGATTCTTCAAATTTTTCATTCTCCTTTTGTTTAAGCTCTTTCCCCAAGGTGAAGGGCATCATTATCTTGCTTGGAGAAATAGCAATACCAAAGCAAAAGTTCGTCTCCACAGTCCAATGCTAATTTTGCTTCTAAATGACCGTACATCTTATAGGTTTATTTGAAAGTCCCATCTCAAACAATTTCTCTTATTTCGGCGAAAAATTGTCCTTTAACGCCGTTTTCTTCTTCGCGATGATAATTCAACTGCGAGCGTCTTACGCTCTTTTATGTGGCAATGCCTTCTTTCATAAAGTGTTCCTGTTACACAGTCCGAGTCTACGTAAGAGTTAGTGCCGTCACTCGTTTCTCTTATCGTCGTCTGCATTCGGCTGCACTTTGTAATGGTTCATTCAAATATCCATTCATTGTTCTCCTAAATTCTAGGAATTAGCATCTTTATGAGGATTGAACTAACAATCAAAAATAAGACATTGCTCAGTAATTTCTCAAATGTAAATTACCATATATAATGTAGGTTTTGGCTCATAGAGCAAAAACGCGCATTCTCTGCGCTACAGCTCATATATCATTCCCATTGTTTTAGCACAATATATATCATTCCCTTTCGTTCAAGGTGCTGCACTACTGCAAACATTGGGCTTGCAAACAACTCTCTATATAATGCTAAGTTTAACGTCTGCGATTATTCTCTTTGCACTATATTTCACACGCGCTAGTACTTTTTACCGTACACTTCTAAATGGAGACAAATTCAAAGGCTTTCTCCAGGTACGTCTACCTATTCTTGTTTGTAGTTCATTTGTGATTTCTGTAGATTTAAGAATATTTTTTCGATCTATAGATTGCATAGATAGCAGGTTTGCAAAGAATCAATTGTAATAGCGGAGTCATTTTCTTTTAATCAGCAGCCGAGTTGACCACACAGGTAACGAACTAGAAGTCTTTCTTCTCTCTTCTTTACTCAATAATAAGAAAAAATAATGACCATGGACGATGTAAAACAATGTTAAAGCCTCAAATCTTGTCCAAACTTCGCCAA